ACTTTAACAGTCGTATAAAGTGGATTTGACCACTACGTTAACACAGTCGTATAAAGTGGATTTGACCACAATTAGTTAACACAGTCGTATAAAGTGGATTTAACCACTCTACGTTAACACAGTCATATAAAGTGGATTTGATCACTCTACGTTAACACAGTCATATAAAGTGGATTTGATCACTCTACGTTAACACAGTCGTATAAAGTGGATTTGACCACTACGTTAACAGTCATATAAAGTGGATTTGATCACTCTACGTTAACACAGTCGTATAAAGTGGATTTGATCACTCTACGTTAACACAGTCGTATAAAGTGGATTTGACCACTCTACGTTAACATAATCATGTAAAGTGGATTTGATCACTCTATGTTAACACAATCATATAAAGTGGATTTGACCACTCTACGTTAACACAATCATATAAAGTGGATTTGACCACTCTACGTTAACACAGTCATATAAAGTGGATTACTTTCTGATTGTGAACAACCAGAGTATTCTAAAAACTACGCAAGTCATTGAACTTTAATTATATTTCCCAGCTGCTTGTAAACGGTATAATATTTTCTGTACAAAGGCTGTTTAATTTTCTTCGCCAGGTGGGGTTGCCACTTTTATAAATCAGATTTAAATGATTTGCTTAAGCAAGTAAACTGAACGCCACTTAGATGTGATGTTTGTACGTGGTTTTATAAAAGTATTCTCTATGTGACAGCTTAATCGAAGAAGTGAACAAATGCGTAAAACCCTGGATCAACAGAAACGGGAACTGTATCAGAAATGGAAAGAGTTTGAAAAAGAAAGAACAACATTTGAAGTAACTAATCAAGATATGGATGATACTCATCGAAGGCTGACTCTAACTCTAGATATGAGCCCAAAAGAGTAAGTACACAGAAATGTTGCTATGTAAAGTACGAATAACATAATCACTCTAAAACACAAGTTATTTTTAGTCAAATTATATTCACAACGTTTCACCACTTCTCTTGTTTCACCTGATGAAATTTTATCTGATTCAAATCATTGGCCTATTACTTGCAAGGATCATCGAGTGGGAATTGAAGGAAAAGTCAGATATTTAACCAGGTGTACTCGTTTGCCGTGAATGTGACAAGAGTCTACTGTACTAAAACTGTGTAGTTTATAACATTTATTAAAATCACTTCGTCCACTTCTGAGCCTGGCGCAAGTCAAGTGAAAGTTAATACAACATCGTACGTAATTTATGAAGATGATAAAAGCTTAATATCAGCAACCACTGTTAAATAAAATGAGTTCTTTTTTGTTACTTTAGATATTTTGATGGAAAAGATAAGAAAAAGGAAAAGAAGAAAGGACTGTTCTAACCTCTGATGTGAATGACAATAGCAAGACCCGATGTTGTGAAGTTCTAGAAGGTCTTCTGTCCAGGACCATGTGTTAGGAGTAGGTGGCTTTCACTAATTGTATTAGTAGGATCTGTTCAGAAAAGGCAATCTAAAGTGTACATATGTGTTGTATGCAGTTTAGGCCCGAGGGTTTTACAGACTTGTTCGGTAGTTAATTTTGTCTCGCACGTAAAACTTCCTAGTATCTATATCTGTAAACTTCAATTCCAAATATCAGATTCTCCCGTTAAAATGTAATTTTTCTGTCATTAGTTTAGAACCAGAACTGTAATCTTAAAATAAACCCAGTGCATATTATAAAACTTGATTGGTAGTTTATCTATAGTATCATAAGTATCCATTTTCTTGGTTCAATGTATTATCTTTTAATGGTATTGATTCAAATATCACAGAGACATTACAGCCCCCCCCCCCCATTTTTAACATGTGTTGACATATATATATAAGAACTTTCTAGAGTAAAGCCACTTTGGGATATCTGCTGTATACACTGTAGGGGGAATAAAACCTTGGATTTTAGTGTTGTCCATCCATAAAATTACTACCATCCACTGGGGGGGACTCGGTAAGGACTAAATAAATCTTATCATATTTGCTATACAAACGTTGTCTCAGTGGGTGGGTTATTAATAACAGCCTCAGCAGCCGAGTTTGATAGGGTAAATACACAATTTTTCGTTACTTATTCAACACCCGAACTTCCACTTCATACAGTGCTGTGTAGGTAATTACTTAATTAGTATACGGGAAGAGCAAGCCGAATCCTACTGATAAAGTAATATCAAATACGAAAAGATGTTCTTACTTGGGGATAAGGACTGTAGTTTAGTTTTGTATTTTAATTAGAGCTCAGTTCTTGTTTGAATGCATTGTTACTAACAATAACTGGGAGAAAGGAGGTAACACGTAAGGTGTTAATTAAAATGGTATTTCACAAAAGCTCTAGTACATAGACGATAAGGAAAGGCCACAGAATATTAAGTAATATATAACAACAATGAAGATGACATGTACACTACATACATAAACTTTACGTTTGGAGTGCAACAAAGCATGTTTAGAGTACACTTCTCTAACAGACTAATACTGTTGATGACATGTACAGTACATACATAAAGAGGTTATGTTGGGAGTGCAACAAAGCATGTTTAGAGTACACTTCTCTAACAGACTAATACTGTTGATGACATGTACAGTACATACATAAAGAGGTTATGTTGGGAGTGCAACAAAGCATGTTTAGAGTACACTTCTCTAACAGACTGATATTGTTGATGACATGTACAGTATATACACACATAAAGAGGTTAAGCTGGAAGTGCAACAAAGCATGTTTAGAGCATACTTCTCTAACGGACTGATATTGTTGATGACATGTACATACATAA